TGCTTGAGGTAGAGTCGGGAGGAGTTGTTCTACACTCCCAGAGCATGTGTTCGAGTGTCGCTGTGTGTCCACATGATGGGCATGTGTCGCTGGGGTATGCATCGGCATAATAAATGTGAAGCGTGGCAAGGTTTGGGTACGTGTGTGTCTGTAATAGGCGTAGGGTTAATGCCTGCGGTCGGTTAAGTTTCGGATGTGGGGGTGGAAAAATGCGGCGTTCCAAGTAAAAGTGCTTTGTAATTTCATTGTACGTGATTGGTGCATCCCGATTGGTATCCAACCCAGCAAGATGAGGTTGCCCTGTGGCAGCGCGGTCGGTAAGTGCGCGCGCTGCATCATGGGCGATCTCGTTGAGGTTTGATAGGGCACCCGGCACCTGGCCGAGATGGGCGGGGAACCAGATGACAGTGTGGTGCTTCAGGGCACTTGGGTCCGCATTGTGCAGGATGCGTAACGCCTGGTCGGAGATGACTCCGCGTTCGAAGGCTTTGATGGCCGGCCTGGAGTCGCTGTAGATGAATTCCCGTTTGCTGTCGAGCATAGCTATAGCTACTTGCTCCGCTACTTCGGGGTTTCGGGTGAGGATTGTGGCTGAGTTAACAGTCTGCTGCGCGGATGATACCGCGACCGCGGCGAAGGCTTGGTTGTTGCGATAGGCAGCGGCGTCCACGAACGAGACGTTGTCCGCTTCCATGTCTATGCGCTTGAGAATGGCGGTCGCCCGCGCATGGCGCCTGCCTCTGTTGTATTCGGGGTGTACATTTCGTGGTATGGGAGCGATCGTGATAAGGTCGCGGATTTCACGGGGAATTAGAGTCAACTCTGGGGGGTCCCTGGCCCTCGAGGAGAAGAAGCCGAGCTCGCGCAAAATATGGCGGCCCGCCTTGGTGGTAGTGAGTCGGGTCAATTGCACACGTTCCTGAGCTTCGGCAATCTCTTCTAGCGTGTTATGTACACCAAGCTCGAGGAGTTTGTACGTTGGAGTGGTGATAGGGAGGCCAAGGGCTCGTTTGACCACCTTGCGAATAAGCGCATTGAGTTGATCGCGCTCAGCACGTAGCCACTTGTGTATAGCGGCAACGTAGGTAAAATGGCACAAAACAAACGCGTGGACGACTGTCTTCTTTGAGGCCATGGTGCCCGTTGGCTACTCTACGTACGAGTCATATGGCATTCTCAGTCTTACTCCTGAGCTTGTGTACTGTTTGGGTGTAGGTTCCGCGGGACTCGATGATCATGCCGAGAACCTTGATGGTGTCTACCCGGGGTTTAGTACGACCATCTCTGGTTCAGGATAAGCTTCCTTTGATATTTACAGTGGATGCAGGCAGTGGCCGGGCCTTCTTTCGTTGTGATTGTGCAGTTCTTAGAAAAGAACTTTCCATTGAATGACGAGCACTCACCAGACAAAGGTTCTAGACCGGCACCACAACAGAGACTGAATTTATCTACATGGTCCAGCAACGCTTCCGCTTCCTCACGCGTTGCAATCTGCTGCTGTTGCCACTTTCTTCCTTGCAAGTGCACTTCAACGGTAGCAGCGTTTCCTTCACTTCGCACTTCAATTTTTACGAGCTTCTTCAAAGCGAGTGCGCTGTCAACATCTTTCTCGTGCTCCTCGCACTGTGCGTACACAAAAGGGCCTTCTGAGTTCGGAAGGTGAATTTCCGACCATCCGTGAGGCATTTTCAGGCCCGAAAATGACAAGGACCCACTCACCTCCACAGAATCGATGCTTGAAACCTGCGTTTCGAGATCCTCGATGGGCGGTGGCGAGCTTTCCGCAAACTTCTTTCTGCTTCGCTTGGCCGCAGGAAGCACCTGGTCGCAGATGCTTCGCTCTTTCCTCTTTTTTGGGAGCCGTTTTGATATGTAGCTTGGGGCCCCGGGAAAGATGGTCGGCAAGGCATCTTTCGCTAGCTGCGGACGATCGCGTTCGATTTCAACAACTTCCCCATTAATAGTTGTTTTGAAAGTCCGCTCAATGAAGTGGGCCTCAAAGTGCAAATCGCAAACCGCACTTGCGTCGTTGAGCTCTCTGTTGGCTCTTTTAATAAGCCGGGACCAAGCTTCGCGTTTAACGACGTCCGCCGGAACACGAAACAGCGACCGCGCTTCTTTGCACGACCGATAGCCGCTGTTGCAGTATGGCACAAAACACGTGCGGTCGCGCTTGTCCCGCCGTCGTTCCGCCATCCCACTGGTTCACGTCACCGCTGCACCAGTTCACGACGAGCACATTCTTCACCGTAGGTTCAAAAAAGGGGGAGAAATTTCCTCCACGACGCACCTAGAACAAAACAAGCGAGCGCCACTGCAACGTCTCATTAGGCCGGCCGCCTGAGCTGCTGCAGCCGCAGAAGCATCCCTCTTGCTGGCGGCGCCCCCACCGGACCGCCGCGATTTTCATCGCGGCAGTGACCCCTCCGCTCCCATTGTTCGGCCCCGCGGACGACACACTTCCCAATTCTAGTACACTGTATATAGTCTTTCTCGGTTGTACCTAAACGACACGATGCAAACGTCCCCAGATTTCTTGCGCATGTGCAAAACGAGGGCTACTCGGGCTACTCTTTAGTAAGCAACATTGTGCACCAACTTTTTGCTTGCAACATTGTGGGCATTGCCTAGATTTGAAGTGCCATCGAACGCGCTACCGCAATAATGGCCGGTTTGGGTAATAATATTGCGCTCTCCGTTCAGCAAGAGGACCTGCTGGTGGCTAGAGTTGGACCACACTTCATTGGGCTCTTTTACAACGCCATTGAAAACCAGCGACGCCTGATGAGAAACTTTTTTGCTGACAACGCGATGCTGGTGTGGAATGGCCAGAGATGCTACACCAAGGAAGAGATCGGCAAGTTTTATGATTCATTACCGGCTTGCCGTATAGACGTAGTATGTGCCGACGGAGAAACCTTTTTGCACCAAGGCCAGAGAGCTTTAGGCCTCGTTGTTGCAGGCTTTATAAAGTTTTTAGACGATCGCTGGATGCAGTTCAAGGAAGTCTTTCTACTGACGGCTCAAAACAATGGTTGGAAGGTGGCTGAGGACACGTTTTGTCTTCAAGGCCCCCGTACCGCAGCGTGACTGAGCAGACTTTGCGTGTTGTTCACTGTCTTGTGAGTTGACCACTTTTGTTTTTCTGTTGCGTGTACGAATGTATGCATCTATATTTATTTTTATGTTCCTCTGAAACATTAAATGACATGTTCTTTACGTTAGATATCACGACTTTGTTCCATCTTGAAATGTCAAATAAGCCAGGAAAAGCTGCTCCTAGGCCAATTTATAGTGCTGAATCAGCTGTATTTGATAAATTACAAAATGTCGAATATTATATTAGCAGCGCATTGCGCATTTTAGTTTCGCATGAAATTATAATACCGACATCTTTCGAGTAATCCAGCTTACGGCCTATAGCTTTTAAAATTTTATGTATCCGAGAGAATTGATCACTATAAAGATAATTTTTTTCACTGCATGATGTGATGCCACTTACATCGGTAAGACGCGTGACGACACTGGCTCGGGAGGAAGACTGGGGCCCAAGAAAATTTGTAGAATCATGGTTTACCCATCGTAATCTGCATGCAATATAGTAACTGGTCCCCTGCCTGTTTACGGTAAGATATAAGATGCATTCTATTATCGGAGGTCATTTGTGTACTGACGATGCCATCTGCATATGTGGCAAAACGTCTACATTTCAGGAGTGAGGTTGAGGATGTTGTAGGTAGCCGGCGGATCTAGCCTTGCATAATTTGCAGGCAATTGCCCCGCCCGGTTTTCTCTTTGCTAGTTGTAGCTAATATCCTTTGTTTTTTAACTAAGCACGAGCAGGCTTTTCAAATAAAAATAGTGCATAGCGCGACGTAACCCGGCATAAGACGGCGGCCTTTGTGCTATATTCCACTTGCAGTATTGTGCCGGTACTCCATCTCACTGCTCTATACCCACCATCTTGCGCTGCCATCTTGCGCTGCCGTGTTGCGCTACCATCTTGCGCTGTTTACCTTTCGCTGCCGCAGCGCCTATGACGCCCCCTGTATTTATCATACTCGTTTTATGGGTTTAATTAACACTTATGGGCTGATCGACTCGCTAAACACTTGCTTAGTAAAATTTGTGTAGGTTTAACGCATTAGACACAAATATTTTACACATTTAACTAGCTTTAAGAAATAATTTTAAAGTGACGTCACTTTTGTGCGGCGCAGGAGCCATTTTTGTGTGGGGCTGGCTGCGGCGCCATGCACGGCGCAGGAGACGCTGCCGTGCACGGCGCAGAAGCCGCGCGGCGCAGGAGACGCTGCCTTTTTTAAAAGGCGGTGTTCACACCCATAGAGTTTCCCACAATACTTACTAGAGAGAACTCTGGCGCTAGTGGAGTTGCAACACGCGGCGCTTCTGCGAGCATGGGAATGATGGGTAGTACACACATTTGTGTAATTTTCGTACTTCTGGCCTGCTTCTGGTTCCGTGTGTGTTCGTGTGGCTTGGAGCTGTTTTTTCACGAAAACATAAATTAGCAAATGTTCACCGTTTGTGCTCTACAACCTTATTTTTTAAAGTTTACTATTTTGAATCAAGTCCTTAAGTTCAAAAGGGTTTGTTCTTTTTCAGGACTGGCTGAGGACAAGGCTGAGGCAACGCCTCCTAGATTTCCTGTGCCTGCCGGATTATCAGCACTCACTTGGGAAGCGGCGGTCGTCGAAACTACGATGGTGGCGCCCCTCAAGTAGGGGGTGTCTTCAAATAGATCTTTACGTTTTTGGAACTTGTATGCAACAAAAATAACGTAAAAAATTATAAAAAGCTTAAACGTATATATATAATAATCCTACGTAAGTGACGCCGTCATTCAGCAAACAACTTTTTTAATACAAGGCATCCTCTCAAATTGTAGCAAATGCCAAAATTGACAATCTCAAAGGCCGAGTACAAAGACCTTTATTCCTACGTAGGTAGCGCTGTCATAGATGACCGGTGTTTTGCGCTCATCCGGCAGGCACAAGAATCTAGAAGGCGTTGGCCAAGAAATCATCGGATCATTCCCTAGTTCGTACCTGTCTAGGGGTAGAAAGTACCTCCCTAAGAAATCGTCACATACGTCTCTCATTGTTCGAACTTTGCAGAGGGTGCTAGGCTACGGCGATATGCTTCTGGTAAACGCAGAGTGACAGAGTTTCAAGTGCCAAAAGAAGATTATGGATGACGAAGAGCTGGCAGCGCTTCGCGCAAGGCGCCTTGGTGATCTTCAAAAAGAATTTGTTGTAAGATGCTTCATTTACAATAATTCGATGTGTGTGAGGCAACTCCCAAAACGGCGTCGGTGATAGCGAGGCGTACTAAATTGCTTTTGGGTCTCCAACTTCTCGCGTACCTAACAATGTTTCGCCTGCCCAACGTTAGCGCGTAAGCTTGCGTTAAAAGAAACTTATGAATGCAGTGCGAACTATTTTGTCACGGCTTGCTAACTTTCGCCACAGTGAAGCTCTCGACGTGCCTTTGTCGCCACACAAAGTGTAAACAAACGCGCGCAGCGAGGTTTCTTTCGTTGTTGTGCGGGTTTTCATTTTGAAAGAGTTAATTAATAGTGTTAGCAAACTGTTGGCTGAACCCTCACTACTAATTAGAGCCTTTGCTTTACTATCGAATCAGTCGCTTTTGCGAGAGCTGCAACGCTCTCATGATTACTTTCGTGAGCGAATTTGTGTGTTTTTGCATGTATTTCGGTGCTCACACTCGTCCAGAGTCTCTTGTTGAAGGTATATTTGTTGAAGTAATCTGCGTCCCTAGTCCCACATTTATTATGTCTTTCTGCTCCAATTTGTTGTGCGTCGGTGACGTGGATCCAGCAGCCACTTAGCTTAACAGCATTGATTTTTGTCTTCTTGTATTAGGGGAATGGACCATCAAATGCTGAACGTGAAGCCGAGCAGAAGGCAAAGGCAGAAGACTTCAAAAATCGTATCTTGAATCAAGTGCTCACTCAGGAAGCAAGAGCCCGATGTGAGTTTCAACTTCATGGGCTCGGGTAGCTGCAGGACACTGTTCTTTACAACTTATATTATATTCCTGTCCCGACGCCGTGATTTGCATGACTTTATTTTCTAACAATTTTGCTACCATACTTATTGAAGAGCACATTACTGTTTGCTAAAAAATTTTCACGACCACTGTGCATACAGCAGTTATCATGATGACTTTATAAAGAAATGTTTAAAGGTTTATACTCCAGAAAACAAGGAGTTCAATGTGTGCCGTCATATTTAGGCAGCACGTCGCACCATCTGTCACAAGTGTGGCAAAGCAACACTCTGGATTGCCATGCTAGCAACTGCCCTGAAAATCGTAACACGAAACTTCCTAACCATTGACTAGCTGCAAGCAGGTTTTGCACTTTCCTCCCCTGAAAATTTGTGCTGTTTTCTTTTGAAATGTCGAGAAGACCTTCCTCGACACTACAGAATGTCTACATCACATGCATTGCAGACTGCGGAAGCAACTTCATCAGGCACACAGTGTGCATGCACGCTTCAGTCATAATATCTCCTATTTTTGACATGCGGCCTGTGAAAGAGTACAGCAATAACTTGGTGCCACATACTACAGGCATACTGCGTGCAAGTTACTGCTGTAAAGTGAAATAGCTAGCGTCACGCTTCAATAAATAGTGTACTTACTTGTACACTTTCACTGGACTCACAGTTTTTCCTGTTGATTGCAATTATTCACTGGTGGCGGAGCTTGGCGTTTTTCATTGCGGATGGAAACCTGTGCGATGTGAAAACACTGCACCGGCATAATTTCGACGTCATTTAGTGATCTTCGCACTGAGTAATATCTTCCTCTTGCGCTAATTATTGGCGCATTCAAAGGCAGCACAGCGGTGCCCAGGCGGCTTCTTGTAAGCGGTAGCAGTGTGAACAGGCACTTTCTTGCATGTTAAAGAGACCCTGAAATGTTTTTTTAAAGTTTTGTCAGTATTTAGGCTAGAGCATCATGGAACCATTCACACCACAAACTAAGTGACATGATGTGTACCAAGGCTGCTACGGCGAATTATATCATACTCTCCTTCTCACTTCTGCCTGGCCTCCTCAACTCATGAGGCACCCTGGCATCGCTGGCTATCGCAAAGCTCTCATGAGCACGCTCAACATTTGGAGCTTTTACTAACCTAGACCTCCGAGATCGCATGCTGACAGGTTGCGCACAGTCTCGGAGGCCATAGTGTGCCCAGCAGCAGGCATGTCATCTGGCAATAGAGATGAAGATTACGGAGTGGTTCATATCTGCTCCGACAGGTGCCACCACCCTACCAGCTGATCTTACTTCCTTGCATTCTACAGCCCATGACAGCCAATCAGAACAGGAGCCACGGCGACCGGCCTTCTGATGTTCTCTGGCCTTCTCAAGCGGCCAGAGCATTTCGCTTTGTGGATGGGTGGTTGAAAACATGTTTGGCCAAGTTTCAACGATCTGCACCGATTAGCAGCTTCAAAGCGTTGTAATAAATTACACAGTTTATGCAGAAAGCTCAAATCGGTCTCTAAATAACCCTTGGGACTTGGTCTACCAGCCCAATGTGTTTGTACAAAATTGCGAAAAGGGTTCTAGCGTCCCTTTCAGAGATTCTGCTTGCCATGTTAGCTTGGCGCAGTATACACACCTTGGAAGTCTGGAAATGGCGTCTGGGTGTGAGAGTATCCTGCCGGGAGCCTAGGCACCTCGGTGCGAGATAGGTGCTCCCTGGTCTATATAGCATGTAGTGCTTTTCGATGTGGTAAATCTCAAGACTGTAAATGGCCTCACAAGGTGTGTCGGCCATAAAAATGCATTACATAAATTATGGGGTTTTACTTGCCGAATTCACATGTTATGAGGCACTCCTTTTTTTTGCTGGGAATGCACGAATAATAAACTTGGATTAATTTCCAAAGCTTAAGCAAAAAGAAAAGAACACGTAGACACTGAAAATAGAAAAGTAATGCTGAAAGCATTCTGACATTTTACGCTACACTAAGAAAGCTGGATGCATTTTTATTGTAGGCTCTCACTGTTTCGAAGGCAATTGGGATCACTGGTAATTCTTTAGCATACACCTAAATCCAAGTATTCGGGTGGTTCTTTAGCATAAGCCTAAGTTAGAGTACATCAGTATTCATGCTTTTCGCGTCTATCAAAGTGCAGCTGTTACATCTGGGTTCACTGATTGGGCCACTGATACTATGCTTCTGAATTGGTTTTGTGAGGTTGTTGCATAAAAGGCTATGCATAATATGGTGCTGTGCACTCTGCTCATAGAACAAATTTTCCAGTGTGCCCACTGTGCACCGAATGAAATGCGTTGGTTCACCTAACGCTTCAGTACTTAGAAATAGGGCAGTTCTGTAGGCCAGGTGTTGCCAACCTGGGGCCCATAGCGCACTATGATGCACTTCTCAGTATGATATCAGAACCACACACCTCTCCTCTTGACACTTCTTATCTCGTCGGTAAAGTTCCTACTTTGACTGACTTTCTATCTTTACTTTAAAAAAGCTCTTTCAATATTAAACAAATATAATTTTTATTTCAGCTTTGTACATTATGTTAGCTTCATACAACTCGGCCCTACATGTCAAAAGGTTGCCGACCCCTGCTCCAGACAGTTGCACTGTCCCAAAAGAGATACAAAGCGTGTTGCAACTTGCAATAGCTTTTCTATACCAAGAAGTTAGTTAGCTATGAACAAAAAAGTTATCAGGAGAGAAGGCAACTCCAATTAGTAGCAATAAAAACTGCACAGGTCAAGAAGTTATATTTAACTTTAGAGGCAATGTTGATGCACGTATTGCAAGCAGGCTAGTTGCTCCTTCTTTCACTTTCTTTTAAAGCAGCACTGACATCAAATTTACTCGTGCCAAGATTTTTTCGTCAACGAGTAGCTATAGACCCCGTAGCAGCGTTTCGCGACCTAAAATGCAACTGAGGAATGCATAACTGTCACTTTTATTGATTTATATCACTGGTATCTAGCACGATTCAAAATGGCTGGCAATCCCGCCATTTTTAGCTCTGGAAGCACTACCAGTGGCGCTGCCTCGTGGTCACCTCCAAATCGCGCCACAGCTGACCGCTTTTCCACAGAAAAGAGTGACGTCAGGCTCAGCTGCTCTGCAAACATTTCGTCTGCTCTGCGGACCCATTCAGTCATGTTTTATCACCTGCATTGCTGTTGTCGCCATACAAATTGTCGACTCGGGTTGAGTACGATAGTCTGGAGCTTGGAATCCCCGCAATTCATGGCATCCCGAATTATTTTTGCTTGGATCGACCCTTTACAGAAAAGTGATTCCAAAATGGACGCCATTCCGAGCAGCACCGAGGAGGTGCCCGAGGATGCGTGCTTCACCGCCGTATTCTAGAACGTCCCTTACTCAATGCTTCACCTTGACTTGAAAAAGTCGATGGAAGCGCCCTCTCTAGGCACGGCAAGTCACTGCATATCAGCGATAACGTGGTGCGATTCTCGAGCAGCGCAACGTCATTTTCAGCCGAGTAGCGCCGCAGTGCTCAACTATGTCAAGTGAAGGGTGAAAGTCGAGTCGAGGAGCGTTTGTGAATACGGGGGTCAGCCATGTTCGCTCGTGTGTCTCAACTAGCTATATTTGTGTGTTTTGGCCTGCACAGCAGTCAGGTATACGCAAAGAGGTCAATGGAAGATCGCTATCAGAAATGAGCATCAGCGGTGAAATAAAATATGTTCCCTGCTTCCCAGGTTCTTTGCACCTCCAGGTGTCTCCACCTATCCAGGCTCTTGCGGTTGCAGCGGCGGCCGTAACCCGGTATTTCGCGAACGCAAAGAAGTCTACAAACTATAATTCCTGTGTGTTACTTGTTAGCGATGATATCTGTCTATACGTTGTTCCACTTTGATAGCTTGTGGTTGTGTTGGCCTGTAAGACATTCTGTCGCAGTACAACGCGAACAAAGCACAAGTACGCCTTGAGGCAGCGTGTTCTCACGCAGATTGTCTTCTTTGTTCTCGAGTCAAGCCAGAGGCCCACTACCTGGTGTTCGCTAAATCCCCACATCATCGCTGTCGTTCACACGCAGACACGGGTCATTTGCCTCTCTCTTAAAGAGGATTGACTCGATGCGAAGTCAATAATGCAGTTTTTTTTTCAAAGGAAAGTCTCACGCAATCACTCGCTGACGTAAGGCGTCGCCAGCACCACCCTGAACTCGTTTACTACGTAAACGAGTTCAGGGTGGTGCTGGCGACGCTTGGTACTACACGAACTGTCGGGAACAACTTCGTAAGTGACCTCACTCAGTTGTCGCAGCACTCGGTATGGCCCAAAGTATCTTCTTAAAAGCTTTTCGGAAAGTCCTCGTTTCCGTACGGGTGTCCAAACCCATACTTTGTCGCCAGTTTGATAGACGACTGTTCTGCGGTGAGCATTGTAGCAGCCTGCATTGTACTGTTGCTGCTGGCGGATCTGTAAATGTGCAAGTTGCCTAGCTTCTTCCGTGCGTTCCGTAAACGTGTTGGCGTATGGGTAGATGTCGTCACCTTCGTGCGGTAGCATCGCATCAAACATATTTCGTACTTCTCGTCCATGAACGAGGCTGAACGGGGACAGGCGGGTCGTTTCTTGCTTGGCCGTGTTGTACGAAAACGTTATGTATGGTAAGATTTCATCCCAATTTTTGTGTTCAACGTCTACGTACATCGAAAGCATGTCTTCAATGGTTTTGTTTAGACGCTCTGTCAGCCCGTTCGTTTGTGGGTGGTAGGCAGTGGTCTTACGATGTGCTGTCCCACTCAGCATGAGGACGTGATCCAAAAGAGCTGCCATAAATGCGGCTCCTCTGTCTGTGATCACGACGGTTGGTGCACCATGCCTCAGTACAATGTTCTCGATGAAAAATCTTTCCACCTCCGCTGCTGTACCTCTCTGATAGCCTTTGTCTCGAAATAACGGGTCAGATAATCCGTCGCGACGATAACCCAGTGGTTC